ACAACCTAAATGGTTTGTCTTGGAATTGTTGCTTTTAATAAATATATCTATAAAATTAATAATTTTGCGGTAGCTTTGGGACTATTTAATAATATAATAAATTTGCAACAGAAAAGGAGAATGTTCCATCCTGGCATCTATAAAAGAATCAGTTTGCTCTTCTGACCCTGCGAAATAATATACATCCATCGAATTACACATATACTTATCTGAATGCAAAAATCAAATAAATTTATACTTACATCTTTCTGAATATTTCCTTTTTTGTGCCATAGTAATGATAAAAATTATTTACAACATCAAAAAATCGTTGTTCACTTAATCGCTCGCTCAAATATATTTGACTGTTCAATTTAGGTTGAAAAGTATGCTCGCAGAAAATCTAAATTGTTCCTATTCACTGCGTTACCGACACTTTCCAGTGACTTATGATTTTTCCCTATTTAGGTAGCTATTTAGACGTACTCGCACACAGCCTTAAACCTACATTTTGTTCATAAATAACACATAATTGTGTATATTTTATCTTCGAAATGTACTTTTTCTAATCGTGAGGCGAAATTCCCCACAGTAAGTGTTGCCGTGCGCGCAAAACGAACACGATGCACACAACCCAAAAGTACTCCTCGGGGAACAAATGGTGAAAAACTGCGAAAAGGTTTATTACTGTATATACTGTGCAATGAGATTCATAGTTAGTTTTGAAATCAATGTTTATCTGCAGTGTACTCATTTGATTTCAAATATGGCATTGATATACTCTTTCCAAATCAAGTCAAGCGAGTGAAAAATGCTGTTATGAAAAGCAAGTCGAGCAATCGAATGACACCCATTGACTTCAAACAATTAGTAGAGAATACGACAATTTTGAAAAAATGGATATTGATGAAGTAGTTTTTTAAATATATTAGTTTTACCAGAGTTGTGAAAAATGCATTAATTGTATTTAAAGCAATAATTTTAATGTAAAAAATTAATGCATTAATTTATGAAATTTAATGCAAATGAATATTTCAATGCATTAATTCTGAAAAATGTAATGCTAATGAAATTTTTTTTTCATTAAATTATCCAAGCTAATGCTAATGAAAAAATTTTAATGCACTAAAATGTTTAATACGTTTGCTCGTTTGCATTATTAAAAACCATTAAATTT